AACATATACTCTAGTTTTATGTATAAGATAAAGAGGAAGAGAATACTTTTTAATCCCATGTATATTTATAAGTTATTTCATTAAATTTTTTCATATAAATGTATAATTTTATATTCCATTTTATTATTGTATAGATTATATTTTCTTGAAATGTCTATAATCAAATAAATAAGGATAAATTAAAAAATTATTAAATTTTAAAATAAAATTAATAAGATATAAGGCTCTTATTGGTTTTTAGGCCAAAAGAAAGGCTTTTATTGGTTCAGCAAAATAGGTTGGAAATATCTTTGAGGATTTTTGCAAAGGAAGACCTTAGAGTCAACTTTTATTTTTGTGTTGTGTTTTTTCGGGTGGGGCGGGGGGAACATGAATGATTTTATTAATCAGCAGTGGAAGAAGACTTGATAAAGGACAAGGACTTCGGAGTCAATAATAGCAGAAAAGGAGACGGGAAGGGACCACATATATGGAATGCCAGGCGGGCAGGTGGGGTCAGCATTCAACTTGATAAATAAAATAAATGACTTGAGAATACTGTCAAAGTGCTTTTCCAGTTCACAATACAAGTCATTTAACTAATTTATTAGTATCAAAAAATGATAGTTAACTCACTAAATTTATTTTAAATTGATTTTTTTTTTAGTTTTACCCATATTAAATGAGGTTACGGAGAAGAGAGAAAAACACTAGGAATTATATTTAAGTATTAATTATAAGGATAAAATCGACAAATAAACATGAATTATTCTCCAAGTAACTTACATTTTTTGCTAAGCCATTTTTTGAGAAGCCACTTGTACTGTGAACCGGAGGGAGAGTATGTTCTTCCCAGTTGTAGCATAAACTAAGTAACTCCAAAAAATTCCTTCCATTGTCTTGTTTACTCTTAGGCATGCCGAATTAAAAGGCAGAAATCACTTAAAGGTTGTCATTAATAATAAATTCAGGAAGTTTTAGGCAACATGAGGACCAGTATAAAACAAATTGAAAACGAAGGAAAGATTCCCATCTTCTAGCCTCCTTCCTTAATTATAATGATAGAACCCAAAAAACTGAACAGTTACAGTCAGTTATATGTTTAAGTTGTACTGCAGCAAGAGAAAAACACAATGGTCTGGGGATAGGGTGGGCGTCTTTAAGTTATTTGATGAATAAATTTTTTAATTGGAAAATACCAAAAATAATGAAAGATTCTGAATTCCCACATTACAGCCCAAGATTTCAACCAAAAAAAAAAAGACACCAACACAGGAGGCTCACGAACTTCATAAACAAATTTGGGGGGAAAATGGATGAGAAAACCGCAATTAAAGACCCTGAAAAATATAAAATTACAATTTGAGCTTTTCAATTCATAAAATTACTACCAACGACGAGGTTTTAAATATAAATTATAAAATATTGATGAAAAAACAAAAATATCCTTCTTTTTCTCTTCACTCTCCCGCTCTTCTCCCTCTCTTCCTCTTTCTCCTCTCCATCTTCCTTCTCTTTCTCCCCTAACCCCACCTTCCTTCCCCCACCACCTCCCCCCGTCCCTACCCCCACCTCCCCCCACCCCATTACTTATGCAGCAAAGTCAATGACGAAGCAGGCAACACGATCGAAGAAGGCTTTAGCAAAAGTGAATGAAATTTTCATGAAAAGTTGCTACTATTTTCACATTTTACTATCAAATGACAAGAGTGGTAAGCTAAATAACAAGTTTGGTGAGCGGAATTACAAGCATGTGATTGATTTTTGATGAAATTAAGTTTCATGAAAACTTACTATTATTTTCACATTTTACTACTAAATGACAAGAGCAGTAAGCCAAATATAAGAGTGGTAAGTGAAATAACAATTCTATGATTGAGTTTCTTATGAAATTAAGTTTCATAAAAAGTTACCATTATTTTCACATTTTATTGCTAAATAACAAGAGTGGTAAAGCAAATAATAAGTTTGCTAAGCAAAATTACAAATTTGTAACTGAGTTTTTCATTAACTTCAGAATATTAAATAGATTAATATTGTTACCATTTAGAACTAATGAATAAAAAACGTTAACATTATTTTGCCCATAAACAAAAGACCAACATCTTCATATCGTCATGTCATGTTGCTGCCATAATAGTAACAAGTCTGTAATTACAACACTAATAAGTGAAATTACAACGATAGTAGGACAAATAATAAAAAAAATCAAAGGTGCTTTAACAGTAACTAGTTTAGCCAAGATTCAATGACAAAGGCACCTCAAACTAACTACAACTTTCTCTAACTAACATCCTTTATCATCAACTTCATGTCTAATTGCCTTCCACTATATAACCTAGCGAACCACACCACAACCTACCAAGATGACGCCATGATAATCGTGAAGCATACCAATAGTGTCTTAGGCAACTGGAATCTCATCCTCTTCAAAATTATGTGTACCATCTCTAGAGCACTCTTGCTATCAACTAAAATCCGATTACTCTAGCCAACTAGTGTTAATAGTGGGTCAATAGCTTTTTTTTAATAAAGATCAGTAGCCATGGCCCTAACCTCAATCCCATTGATAAACGCACAGGTGGCTAGATGACTGGTGCTAGGAGGGAGAGGAAGAGAAGGACGAAGAGAAAGAGATGGAGTGATGCAAGGAAGAAAAGAAGGGCATTCTAGTCTCTTAGGCTTCATTTCATAATTGCCATTTAAGATCTGGTCTCCTCAAGCAATTTAGTTTGTTCATGTGTGTATTTTGCTCTTTTGCTAATTTAAGGTTTTTTTTTTTTTGTGATTTTCCCAAAATAGATAATACAATCTCCTAACCGTTCCTCAGCTGATCAAACAATTTTAACTTACAAGAATCCAAAATGGGTAGCAAAAGCAAAAACCTTATTGGGACCTAAGCCTATTGTCAACACAGCTCAAAGGGGCGGCCAAAACCACAGACCCCAAAATGGCTAAACAAAACGAAAAGTAGCCATTAAAATCAGAACAACCATAGAATGAAAGTGAAAGAAAGACTGCAGGAGACGACACTCATGGCATTAATGAAAACGACCACCGGCGAGACCCAAGCTAGGAGAGACCCATAAAACCACAGACAAAGGAGAAGAGGAAGGAAGAGAGTACATCAAGTGAGAACTATGGCACACTGAAGAAGGTTGCCGGCCAGACCCAATGGAGACCCAAGAAACAGAACAAGAGGAAGGCAAGAGGAGCATAGAGTAAAGAGGGCATACTAGCTCAAGCAAGACTCAAGGCACGTTGGAAAAAAATTCATTCTGATTGGAGTCTCAAAGTTTGCTCAACCTGAGGTCGTTAGTCAAGATATCCTTTCTTTGCTAAGTCTGTCTTCCTCTGTTTTAGTTTCTTCCAATCACTTAGCTTCTTTTAGCACTTATGTAATCTTTCTTTTTGTTCGTTTGCTTATGTTGTACTCTAAGTTTCTTTTTTCTTTAATATATCGTTTTGTTTTTTTATCAAAAAATTAGTTTGTGTGTTATTGAGGCAAAATAATATTATGAGGGAAAATTGTTCGATGAATTTTGATATATACATGAATCCCTTCCCCTCCATTTTAACATGAATGCAAGCATGGGCAACTCATGCATGAATGAGAGGAAGCTAAGCTTTTGGAAAAATTGTAAGGAATTTGAAAGTTTATTAATTTCCCTTCTACCTGTATGTTTCTGTGGGGGTGCTTACGAGATGGGATGGGACCAAGACGAGCCTATCTCGGTGAATTGGGATGAGACTAGATTTCCATCTCGTTGCTTTTTTTTTTTTTTCCAAATAGCTACAATGATGAGCCAACATTTTGAGTCTTTGTTATATTGTATTGTTTGTTTTCATGGGACGTCTAAAAGATAAAACAGTTTAAAAAACTTACCATGCAAATTGCACAAAGCCTAATTGTAAGGAAATAAATCAGGACTTGGACAACAAAAAGTGCTGGAAAAAATGAAAAATCACTGGAAAAAAAAACCCCTAATGCTCTACTCAATTTGTATTCTCCAGCTCATGTTCAGCCATTTAAAAAAATATTAAAAAACCAAAAAATCACTGGAAAAAAGCAAACAAACATTTATTAATAGTTTAACAAGAAAATTAAAAAAATAAATAAGAAAATACCCCAAGAGGCCTCGTCCCGCATCTTGTTGCCCATTTTGTCCCATCTGGAAATTATCCCGTCCTGAAATTTTTTGTTCCTTCTCATTCTGTTCCATCCCGAAATCTCGAGGACGGAATAGCTGGCACGAGACATTTTGAATACCTTTATATTTCTATACCCACTGACCCATATATTCAGATAAATGTGGGCTTGAAATAATTTTTGGGCTTTATACTTTACTTAAATCTACCAACAAACTTAAATTTTGAGAAAATTATAAATAGATCCCAAGTAAAAAAGTTAATCACATATAAGTCCCCCATATTAGCTTTTAACAAAACACAAAAAGCCCCAAGAAATTTACTAGGATCATGATTAGTGAAAGAAACTAATGTCTCTCAATATAGTAAATCCATGTTCAGATTCTAGTTGAGAAAGTTACTCATATTTAGTACCCAACAGTAAGATTGCCACTAATAAGAAAACACTTGTGTCTATGAGAACTACCCGTTATTAGATCACCTTTGACTGTCTTATGTAACTGAAAGAAAGTTTATTTGGTTTCAGGTGTTGACCAAAACAGAAAATCTCATCGCTTCATACCCAATTAGATGACAGAAGTTAAACAATATCATAAAGTTCTAGTCATGGAAAATTAAATGTCCGATGTTTTTGTGCTGCTTGAATAATTTACAACTGTACATTACTAATAGATAAAGATATTTACTAGTTTATAATAAACACAAATATCTGGAATACCAACATCAACATTACAACGTATTAAGCACCTTAAAAGGAATGATTCACATATCACGCTCTCTAAACGAGCAGTCTCTTGTGCAAGCTTAGTGCACAAATGATCTGTTCAAACTACGACAACCATGAAAACAAACAAGGAAGCCAACCAACCAACAGACCAAAAGCAGTAAAAGCAATGTCTCCAAAGAAACAACAACTTTGACAGCTAAAAAGTCCCAAAAGTTGAAGCCTGACGAAGGATCATCAAGAAGCCAATTTAAGTCAACGTCCGTGGCCTTCTTTATGTATAGTTCACAAGGCTTATGCAATATGAAATGTCAAGAAAGGTTAGATTCTTCAATTCTGTGATCGACACTGGCATCACCTTAAACTCAGTGCAGTGACTAATTCTTCGCAATTCCAAGTTCTCAAGGTTCCCAATTTCTTGGGGAATTTCAATAAAATTGTGGCAACTACTGATGCTGAGCTTCTTCAGGGTGGTTGTATTGCAAAGCCCAACAGGCAACTTCACCAAATCTCCGCGATAATCAATGTTCAACTTTACCAGATTCGGCATTGCTTCTGAGAATTCGATGGAGTTATTTTCGAAAGCTTTCTGCACTTCACGCATGTAAAGAGATAACTTATGCAAGTTCTTCATTTTGCATGGGTAAGGAAGTGAAACGTGCTGCAATCTGATTCTTCTCAGTTGCTGTAGAGAATCAAGTACCCCTGGGTTTTCCAATTCAGTGAAACCCAGACCATAATTGGTGATGATAAGAACTCCTAGGTTTTACTAAATTCATCCTCCAACGTGTTCTTATATCTCTTATTAAAGACCAGAGATTAAAGACCAGAGATAGTAATAGAAATCAAATTCAATTCAAATGTATATCCTGAATCAATTTAATTAATTAGCACCATAAATATGTAACGACCACAAGTTCATGGGAGAACCATACCCCTAAAGCTAGTTATCAAAGTTGGAGGACCAAAGACCTTGTAAGGCCCCTCTTTCAAGGAAAGCCATCTAATGTGGGACTCATGACAAAATGGTAATAATGCAGTGCACATATTTACCTTCGCATGTCGATCCCGGCAGCTAAACTTAGGGCTGTTAAGTTGCGGATGATAGTGATAGCATATATGCCACGTTCATCCATGTTGTACTGTTCAATCCACGTGTCTATTAACGCAGTAATGAGAATGTCTTGATCTTTAGGAAATAACCCAATGTCCATAAAGTACTCTCTGGTGATTTTATCTGCCAAAAGACGCAAGCATTTTTGGAGTCGAGCAAGCAACTCTTCATGTGAATCTAGAATAGAGCCTTGCAACAATTCTTTTTTTTTTTTAAATATAGGTATCCTCCTATTGGAAAAAATCCTACTCGAGACACTGTCGGGCACTAAATATAGACACCTCTCCTAATAAGAATTCAAATTTTGACTCGTCACATTGCAACAATCCTGATTGCACTAGTAGAAACTCTTCTATGTTAGAACAAAGTGTCCAGTCCACTTACACTCAAATCATGGCCCAATATTAGGAGACTCTGATCCACCACACTACGCCTACGTGTACAGTGTTTCCATTTAGTTTTATGCACCTGCATAGCACGTGACATCTAAATTGCCCTGTTTTAAAATATCACACTGTATAATTTGTTCAAGTGTATTCAATACACAGCTTATTTTATCATGCTTTGGTTTCTGTGTTCTTTTACTATAGTGATCCCTAGGAGTTTGCGACCAAGAAATTCAATAGCGAACGGTAAAGCCCTTGCAACCTTCAAGTATCTGCATTTTTCATGAACCAGATACGAACTGTGACTCTAGTTAAGGTTATGACTTATAAGGTAATTAGGCGGAGGGGATAGGAAAAATCTAATGAACCCAAACAAAAGGAGGGGAGCAAAATTCCTCCCCTCCAAATCTATCATACTAGATAAGTTCTAAACTTTTATTGCTGACAAAGTCTAATAATAACAAATGTCTAATAATGATAGTACCAAGTGTCTCACATGATAATATCAAGCTTATATAACACAAGTATGTCTATTTGTTGGGAAAAAAGTTTGTGATATGATAATACCAAGTGTCTCAATGATTTATATCGATTAGGAGGTGCACTAAATGTATTGGGGCTAATAGGACTATATATGTGTAAAAGATTTCATAACCTGAGCAATGTGAAAATGAGAAATTAAGATAAGCACAATGAAACAAAGATGACGAAGTATAAAAGTATGATACGAAAATATCAAGATAAGTTGCATCTAATTATTGGAATATTACCTGTTACAATTGCATTTTGCAATTACCCACTAATTCTTATTTTGCCTGGCTTATTGTCACCTATGGTTGCAATAAACAAAATCTAGCCACAACAATAATGATAATTAGCTGCAAATAAAATGATAATAATTATATACCATCACAAATTAGTACTTGATTAAATACGATTTTTTCTTTTTTAGGAAAGATTGGTGTTGATTTTAGTCGAATGCTTTTATATTTTTTTAAAAAAGATTGATCTTGGCTTGAAGTACAGGAGGAATATTAGCAATTAAAAGTTCTACAGGTGATGTTTGTTATGTATCTAAATCAGTTGCTCATGATGATTAGAAGAGGAGCAAATAGCTTGGTGGGCCCAAAACTAACAAATGCAGCTTCAAGGTTACTGAATTGATAGAGTGATCTGTGATACATTGGGTGATGCAAATTTCTACCTAAATGTGAAGTTTTTATAAAAGGTTAGGAGTTAGACAGGGAAACAAAGACTCATGGATATCGCTTAATGTTGACCACTTTTGAGTAAGGACAATAGTGGCAGGAGTTTGTGGAGGTGTAAAAGTGAGACGTTAACCCGCTGTACAACGGAATAACATACAAATGATAAAAATCAAATCTGTGACACGGACGTTTTGAGTGCTGAGCAGTATAATGAGCCAATGAGGGACTTTTTTTTTTTTCACTACAAAAGAATATATGTATTAGAATTATTTTTAGTTAAGATTTATCTAATACTCTGAAATATTTTTTTAGATACGTTTAATATTTTAAAAGATTTTATGATATCCTGAAATATTTTCTTTTGTGTATTTAATATTCTAAAGTATTTAAGAATATAATATTTTAAAGTATTTTGTGGTTCATTTAGAACCCTAAAATATTTTTTTTCATATGCATTCATTATTCTAAAATACTTCAAGGTCTAGTATTTTAGAGTCTTTTATGATTTATCTAGTATCCTGAAATATTTTTTAGCAATTTAAAATATTTTGTGATACAATATCAAGAAATAGAAAATTTTTAAGACATTAAATGTATGTGAAAAAATATTTTAAGGTACTAAATGAATCATAAAATATTTTAAGGTATTGAAAACATATAAAAAAATATTTTAGAGTACTAGATAAATGTTAACCAAAAATAATTTAATACATACTTCATTTGGTCCTTAATATAAGAGTTAGTTCGACTAATTCAAGTATATTAAAAAATTAGCTAAATTAGTTATTTGTAATAAATAGGTGTTGTTTTCTCTAAAATACTTTTTACTAATTATAGGTATTAACTAGAACCACCAATTGAGTAAATCTTTACTATGTGCAATTATTATAAAGATTATATTAAAAAAATAGATATATATATATATATAAGAGACAAAATAGATTAAGATCTTATATTTAAAACTAAATAAGATATCAAATTAGTTTTTATATTAATGATTTGAGGTAGCATAAATTTTTTTAAGCAAAAATAAAGTAAAAAAAAAATTAAAGAGCTCAGCACTCAAAACGCAAAACGCACGGCGTTTTGACTACTGAGCACTCCGTGCTCATCAGCCTGATGAGCACGGAATGCGAACACGTGATTACTTTGCTCATATCTTGCCAAATTTCATTTTAGATATATGTTGTATTAATGAAGTTTCATTTAATATATTTTTTTTATTTAATAGAGTAAGATATATCAACCTCCTTTATTTATCCTAAGTTATAAAAAGCTCACTTTTATTTTGAAAACATATATGAACCTCCCTTATAATCAAAATATATGTTGCACAAACCTTCTTTTTAATCTTGATATTCAACTTTCATCTACTTAATCATTAATTGACTGTTAAATCATAATATTGACTTATTATTTTGATCACAATACCCCTCCTTAACACAAATATTACTTAATAATTATCATTTAATCCTATATAACATATCTTTATTGAAATTAAAAATAATTTCAATATTTTTTGTTACACTATTTAATTAATTGCATATTACAAATTTAACTAATTTCATAAATACAAATTATTATTTTTAAATAAATTTAAATGTTTAATCTCATTTATTTATTAAACCTACTTGTGATGTAATCTTTTAAATATATATATATGTTGGCTTAAATATTTTGTAATCCTATATATGTATTTTTAATCAAATTACAAAGTTATAAAATGATATGATTTTGAGATTTTTATAATAATATTTTATAATTGAAAATTTTTAAATATATTTCATAAAAAAATATCTTTGTTAAATAATTACTCAAATTTTCAATCAAGTTGTTAATATTTTAAGTTACTTAAATTTTATCTAAATCTAGTAAAAATATTAATAGGTCATTAATACATAGTAATGTTAAAAATAAGTTAGAGATTTAGTATAATGAAGGGTAAAATAATAAACAAGATTTATCCTAATATGGTTTTTAATGACAAAATATACTTAAAGAATAGTTTTAAAATATTTTTAACAGTATTAATGGTATGAACTAAAATATATGTTTTTAAAATAAAGTGGAGGTCAGTATAATTAAGGTAAAACAAAAAGGTAGGCAAAGTATTTTACTTTGTTTAATATAATATACGAAGTTCACTTGAAAATAATGTTTTTTCTTTATGCTAAAATATAAAAAATTATTTTAAAATGATGTCCTTCATTACCTTATATTTAATAATTATAAAATTAAATAACAATTTTGAAAATTCAGAGAACTTTATAAAAGTAAAACCCATTTTAATATATTATACGTACAAAAGTACTTTTGGTAAAAATATATATCTATATATATATATATCTTAACATTCAATTCTTTCAAAACACGTTTTAGAAAAATGTTTTCAAACAAAAATTATGATTAATCATAATTACTTAAAATCAAGATCACTTTAAAAAATTCAGAATTATAAATATTTTCAACTCTAACCCAAGTGAACGTTAAATGAATAAATGCACACTTCCTTATCAATCATATGATGATCTTGCAATAGGTAATACATGCAGTCTAAAATTAAGAAATCAATATTCACTCTTATTATATGTTTGATAGGATATATGATATAAATTATAACACTAAATAGGATAAAAGTGACTCTCGTGAACAAAAATTGTCCTTTTTTAAATATAATATATTTATTCAAATTTATTTTTCAATATTAACTTTACGCTGCATTGGTACGAGATTTTTGAAGGGATGAAGGAGAGAGAAATTTTATGTGTCATCCTGACTGAATTATCCTTACTAATTATTTAATATTTCAAATTTGCCCTTTCTCACTAAAATCGTTTTTTTT